AGCAGCAGCAGCAGCAGCAGCAGCAGTAGTAGTAATATCCTTGTCATTAGTAGTAGTATGCGTTTCATTATCTTTGTCATTATTATCTATCATGTCTCCAGTAAGAGTACTCAACCATCACCTCTCCACACAATGGGTTTGCCGTCGCTGAAGTCCAGGCTGTCGTACAGGGCGTGGTACTCCCCGACCTTCTCCATGCTGCCGACTGAAACACAGGGGAAAAACGACCCGAATATAAAAACTACCGACTGAAACACAGGAGAAAAACGACCCGAATATAATACAGACTGAAACACAGGGGAAAAGCGACCCGAATATATATAATTCTGATTGAAACACAGGGGGAAAACGACCCAAATATATAACCGACTGATACACTAGGGAAAAGACCCCCAATATAGTTCCGACTGAAACAGGGGGTAAAACGACCCGAATATATTACCGGCAGAAGCGCATTGGAAAACGACCCGAATATATTACCGGCAGAAGCGCATTGGAAAACGACCCGAATATATTATATTACAGACTGAAAAAAGGGGGAAAGGAACCGAATGTAGTACCGGCTTAAACACCGGAGAAAAAACGACCTGGATAATATTATTACCGGCTGTAATACATATGAATAATGACCCGAATATGTTACCCACTTTTGGAGGACCATGGATATCTCTCTTTGAACATAACTGAGGATTATCAATTCAAATATGAAGTCACTGCTATTGTATGAATGTTAGACATGGGGTGCATCTCGTGACACGCAAACCTCGGAGAGCCATTAAACTAACACAATATCTCAAGAACATCAAAACAATAACACAATATCACTAGAAACAATAACAAACAATAACACATTGTCTCTAGAACAACAATAAAAATATCACAATATCTCAGGAACAACAAACAAAAACACAAAATTATTACAAGAACAGCAAACAATAACACAATATCCCAATAAAAATAAGCAATAACACAATATTACAAGAATAATAAACAATAAAACACAATATCTCATGAACAATAACAAACAACACAAAATTTCAAGAACAACGAACAATAATAATACCAAGTCAGGAACAGCAAATGATAGCGCCATAGTTCATCAAAAACAAACAAAAACACATACGGTTAGAAACAACAAACAATAACATTATTACACAGTGAGTCAAGAACCAGGAGTCAATGGTCAGTCCTTAACCTACTTATGTACTCACACTGCACCTGTCATTGGTCAGTCGTTGACCCACTTATGTACTTATGTACTTACATTTCACCTGTCATTGGTCAGTCGGTGAGCTACTTATTTACTCACACTGCATCTGTCATTGGTCAGTCTGTGACCTACTTATCTACTCACTCTGCATCAGTCATTGGTCAGAGGTTGACCTACTTATTATGTACTCACACTGCATCTGTCATTGATCAGTCGGTGACCTACTTATGTACTCACACTGCATCTGGAGGATGGTTGTGCTCCCCACTCGGTCTCCGTTCAGGAACTGGACACGACCCTGGCCGAACACACAAACAAACACGTCAGTTGTAGATGGGTCATTGCTTTTGTTTTTGTTTGTTTGTTTGGGGAAAAAGAAGCACAGTGACACAATAATGGTCAGTTAAAGTAAAGTAAAGTTGTACCCGAATCCAATCGGGACATTGGGGATTGCCTTGTTAGTAATGTTAGAGAGACAACTTCCTGGGCCTTCGGCATATTGTGGTAGAGTGACCAGTTTCTTCCCACGCCGCCTTTACTTCCCCAACTCGAAGTCAGGTACCCATTTCTGCTGGATAGGCAGCAGGAGGGGACGAAAACAGTTCGTGACCAGACAGAGGCCCGAACCCGGCCTTTCCGCTTCGGAGACGAGCGCACTAAACGCTCCGCCACCGCACCCTCTTCACGGCACTTGCAACACAATAAGGTCATTAAAAGGCCAAAGATTAAAGGTGTTACAAGAGAGTAACAAACACAAAAAAGAAGAAGGAGAGAAAAGAACGATAGAGGTTTGATAGAAAAGAAGAAGCAAACCACACCAGAGCACCCGCCAACCAACCACTCACCCTCTAATGGTCAGTTAGTGCCCGAAAAAGTAAAACAGAAAAGCCGAAATAACAGAGTGGAAAGTAAAAAAGTAGGACCTACCAGTGGCGCACGATAACCACCTGCTGCTTGGCTAATTGCACGCATAAAAAATATTGTCCTACATTCTTATTTGAATGGGGGGAAAACAGGCAAAAAAACAACAACCCGAAACACCAAACGAAACAAAACACCAGCAAAAAAACCCAACCCACAACAAAAAAACAGGAAACACTCCCTCCTTCCCCTCACCACCACGCCCAACCCAACCACGCCCCCCTTCTAAACCAGGAACTACCTAAACACAAATATAACCATAAAAAACGAACGTTTATTGTTCAACGCCACGATGGTCATAAAAAGAGAGACAAGTCGCTACCTCAAAATAACAAAGTTCTATCTGAAATATTTGGACATTTTGAGTTTACTAAGACCATGAAGTCAAAAAGCAATAAATGTTCTATCTGCTCTATCAACATCGTACGATTATTCGTAGGCGTTATCAAGATATTTTTAAAAAATGCATTCGAAAAAGCTTGACGTGTTTTGAAACTCAAATATTTTGAAGTCAAATATCCTGGAAACTGGGTACTGCGCCGATAGAACTTTGTAATTCTGAGGTAGTGATAAGGAAAAAAAAGAGACAAGTTAGTAAAACAAAATGTGAGGCAGCGTGGTAAAGTCAGGCGCTCGTCAAAATAATGAAAGTGAAGAAACTGGCATTGTTCGGCAGGTTTATGGAAATTTTTATTGATTTTTGTTTTGTTTTTGGCTAAACACCTTTCTTGTCTATTAAAGAACAAAATATTTCTGTGCGGATTTTTACTGGAAAAACGTTTATTAAAGTCTTTAAACTGAAAATTTGCCCTTTCCACGGACTCTTAAGCTAAAGAAATAACTCAACTTTGGCGGGCCATTTTCTCGACAATTTTACCTCTGAAACCTAGCGACCTCTATCTCCTTCAATCGCCAATATCTCAACATTTATCAAAGATATTATATGGAAGTATTTTTCATCCAAAGTAAGTCAAATGGATAGGTTTTAAGATGATACCAACAACTCTATAAGCCGGAAAAAAGACGAGCGCCTGATTCCGCCCTATCGTGACACAAATCGTTGTTGACGACGGAGAAAGAGAAAGTACACACAGCCCCGTTTATGGGCTCTGTCTCCCCTAGCTCCCGCGAACAATGGGGAGCTGCTGCCCTGTTTTGTTCACCCGTGGCTTGGCCTAACACCGATACGCCAACTAC